CCCCCCCCCCCATTCCTTCTAAGACAATTTGGTCATCTTCCCATATCTTGACATTTTGTCTTTACTAAAACTTTATGGACATTACTTAGAGGAAGGAGAGAATGAATGGGTGCTGGTAGTTGGTTAGCAGCCTTTGTTGGTCTTTTTTTTTCCCCCTAGGAAAGTGTATTATATGACACTTTTGGCGAGTGCCTACATGTTAAAAATGGTGTTTGGCTTCTTTTGTTACAGTATTTTTCTTTTCTTCATTTCTTTTCTCCATTTCTCCTGTCTTTTGTTGATCTTCTTTCCAGCATCTGTTTTTTGGTGTTATGAGCTTCCAGGATTACTTTTTCATTTAGTCAGTCTTTTCTTTAGAGAGCTAAGAAATACTTGGATTTGACCATTAACTGTAAGAAAATAGTTTTCAAAGCTGAAAGTAAATTAATTTTAAACTGTATGGTAATCATATTTTAAAAAAAGATTATATATGCATACAGAACTGGGATATAGGCCAGAGGTCCAGGGGTGGTAAGAGGATTCACCAGAGACAGAGTAGGGAGCAGAATAGGCAGACTGGCGAAGTGTCCTGCTGAGGGGAGCAGCGGGCAGGTCAGGAGGGGTCTGCCACGCCATGTGGGTCACCTCCGGGGCAGGGATTGAATTCATGCTGAAGTGGCTTTAGCTTCTTTGTGCTGTGCTTTAACCCGCTGCGCCACCAGGGAGGGCCAGTAAACGCATTTTTAATTAACATGTTACACGTTTTTATGTAAATTGTTTAAATTTAGTATAGTTTCACTTTTTAATTTTAAAAAAGGTATGGTAAGATGTGTATTTTCAGTTTCTACTTTTAGTATTTGGATCCGTAGCTCTTAATAATAACTAAATTGTACTAAGTGAAATCAAATTGATTTGAGTGAATAATTATAACTATTATATATATATATATGTGTATATATATATATACACACATACACATATATATACACAAACTGTAATAGTAAGCTAGTGACTATGTTCTTCAAGTATAATACTATATACCTATTTGTATTGAATTTACTAATAATATAGTTCTGAGATTGTGAACTAGGTCTAAATTCTGAAATTTTGTATTTTTATCATTTAATGTTTTATTTTTCAGTACATTATTCATATTAGGCTCATAGTAAAGATTTGATTTACATTCATTTGAATACTTAGAAACCCGTGAGATAGAAGAATGTAAATCTGAATATCCTGTTCTACGTGTATGAGTATGTGTTACACAAGTGTGCTCCCTCACACATAAACCTTATACCTACCACCCATATTCCATAGTTGTTATGATTTTTATTTCAAAATTACTGTCATGTTTCTTCATCTCTGAATACTTGAATATGCTTCTCCTGAAATAGTAGCATCCTTCCATATAACAATAAACCATTAGCATATCCAAGAAAATGAAATAGAATTCCATTATATTTAATACCCAGCCATATTCAGATTTTCTTTACTATGCCTACACTGTCTTTCATAGTGCAGCTCACTTCTAGCCCCCATTTTGGAGTCTGTCTAGGGTTTTAGATTCTAAGCTGCATTTGCTGGTTATGACTTATTTGCATTTTTTTTGATTTGAAAGAATTTCTCCCCCACCCTTTTTTCAAAGGCTTTTTGAATAGGTTAGACCAATTTCTTACACAATATTCCACATTTTGGGTTTGTCTGGTTGTTTTCTCATGGTGCTATTTTACTTATTCACTCTGTCCTATGTTTCATATAAACTAGAATTAGGTAATTCTTATAATCAAATAAAAAATTGAATTAGATTCAGTTTAAATATTTTTGGCAAGACTACACAGTAATGTGAAACATAATTTCAGATTATACAAAAGCTGATCAATGATTAAAGTAGTAACTGTCAAAACTGCCCATTTCAAAAGTATATTTTCTGTTTTTTTTAGTTAACAAATGATCTGTAAGATGATACTTGGCTGTGTACAAGCACCTTTTTCTAGCACCTTTTCATCTGATATTTTTGGCATATCTTGATGACCCTGTACTGAAGCTGTTATTTCCTGGAAGTTACAAAATGGTGATTTTCTTAATTATACAATTCCTTTTATAGTGATTAGCAGGTATTCTTTTTTTTTTTTTTTTAAA